AGATGGCTGCTCTTTTATTAATGAGACATGAATTGTGTCTCAACAGAAACTAAATGAACATTTCAGAATAAATTATTGCTGTATGTAAACTATTACTGAAATTGGTATTTGCTTGAAGGTTCTTATTTCACATTTGTATTAATAATTGTCAAAAGGGCCTCTTTTGAAAACTTGTATAAATTTTTTCTTCAAAGTCTATGCATTAAGAGTTTAATTCCTCTTACTGTAATAATAAACAATTGAAGAAGAATGTTGATTACGCAGTGGCACTTAAATATTCTTGAAATTTTTTTTCATGTAACTAAGTACTTCCTGATATTTAATATTTCTCCACTTAAGTTTTCTTTTTCTTGTGTCCACTGGATTTCATTTAAAACAAAATATTTAGCAGTGTGTACAGTATTGAACACAAGATAAGGCATCTGACATGAGAGACCCACATACTTTCCTTTTTCCTAATAGGATTCTGCATTGCTTATTTTTAGGTATAATTAACCTTTCTCAAGCTTTACAATATAACTCTTCCTCTTCATTTTCTGCTGGATCTGGAATAAAAGTATTTATCATTATGTTATGGCTGAATTCCAGCAGTCAATATTAATTACCATTTGGCCATGCTAAAATAATGCAAATCAGAAGAAACTTCAAAGGCAAAAATCTTGTACCATTAAAATTGTCAAAAGAATATTTAAAAATATCTGCCTTTTAAGCAAAATTTCTTGTGGACAGAACCCCAGGATGTGTGTTCATATTCCCTCCCTTCATGCTTGAAAAGATGGAGGTCAGTGAAGGAGGAAGATTCTCAGCAAGAGGAAGCAACACAGTGACTGTAGCAGTGGGTGGAGAACATCCGAGATGGTGCAGCATAGGGCAGGATTCCGACCTGCTGTATAGCAGTGGGCTGGAATACATCAGTGATGGTGCAGGATTCAGACCCGCTGGGTAGCAGTGGGTGGAGTACATCAGAGATGGTGCAGGATAGGGCAGGATTCAGACCCGCTGGTCACGAGTCATTGTGAATCATAACCAACTAGATGGACAATTGGCAGAAACATGAAGGAAAGTAATAGGCTAGTTCACAAAAATCCTTTTTATAACTTCTTCTGAAAGATCAGAAGATGACAGAAATGCTAAGTT